AAATAGGAAGATTGCATCTTGTAGTAGGATTATTTAATCCTCAAGTACTTTGTTAAATGTTTTCTGAGGTATGCAATTCCAGATATAATTTTCCTGTGAAATTTTTTCAACAACCTCATTTTTATATTCCATATTAATTCAATGAAAGCAATTGGCTCTGTTCTTCAGATTATATTTAAAACATTTTTTTAATGAAACAACCAGTGTATTTCATTACATTTTTCAGTTTGCTCCTAGTTTACCTTCTGTATATTGCTTAGAATAACAGGCCAAAATAATTTTTTACACCTTGAGACATTGTTATTCATGGTTTAGTTTTATTTTTTGTATTTATTTACAGATACTGATTACGATATGTTGCACTCCTAGGGGGGAGAAGGGGTTTTAGGCAAGAGACACCATGCAAACCCCTACGGTTATAAATCAGATCGTGTGCGATTTGAAATCTATTTAAAGCAGCCAAGTGTTCGAGAGACCATTCAAATGGCTTGTGCACAGAACTCACATCAAGTAATTATTAATAAATCGTGCAGAAAAAAGCAGCAGCAGCATACTTTCCCACATCACAAAGAATACATTGCCTTCATGACACTACTGAAGTTTCAAGGAGAGGTTATATGAGTTATGTATGCGCTTTCTCACCGACAGTAAGTTGTAATAGGTGCCATGTCTCATAAACAGGCCTGCCTGATGTTTATGAGACAGTGAGAGGAATAGAGTTCTTGGATCGTTAATGGCTGCTGTGCTTTGCATACCCTGCTTCCTTCATTACAGCTTGGTGAACTCATTCCCTTTGCTGTACCTTAGTCCTCTGTGGCTGTGTGTATGTTTGGGTTTCTGCTGGTGGTTCCACGTTCTGCATGCTTTTCTAAAAGCAATGTGCTTTCCCATAAATGATAAAGATTATGGGTTAGCCTCCTACAGGCTCTGTGTTCCTGAGAAATGGGCTCTTTCTGTTGGTGATAACTCATGTTTTGATGTCATTGTTCTGAATTGTTCTTCATGTTGTAAAATTGAGTTGAAATGTACTCCCTTAAGAGTTAGCTTTTCATATTGGGCTGGAAACTCCTCATCTTTGTGTAGCAATTTGTTTTATTATAACCAATGGCTTTTAATTGTACCTCCCATAATGAAGAGCTGACTTAATACTCTGTGCTAATCTTGTTATGACTTTAAAAAGGTAAGTAATTTCTCTAACCATTCCTAAAAGTCATGGTAAAGTGTTAAAGGGTTTTTCAATTTTCTTTTCTTCTTTATTTTTTCACATGAATTTTTCACTTCTAGCATGAAATTTTCTTTGTGTCTTTTTCTATTTTTCTTGTAAAAATTTTTTTTGTGGACTGATTTCTATTTGCAGCGAAACATATCACGTAGATTTAAATAAATCCAATATAGTACAGTCATTGATTTCATTTTTC